AGTACAAAATCAATATAAGTATAAGCACATACACATGTATATACATATATGAGCAAAAAAAAATTTATCTGCAGATATTTCTCTGCTTTCTTTTCATTGCGTTTTTTCCGTTTTTTGATTGCATAAAGATAAACAAAGCACAGTATAGTCAACGGAAAAATCATTAATTTTGTTTCTCATTTTTTATTTATTTTTAAATTTTATTTTGTTTTCTTTTAATCTTTTCATTTTTTTTTTAATTTTTTTCTTATTTTATTTGAATATTCTGACGTGAAATACTTCGTCCAGCTCGTTATTGCTTAAATATTGAATTTTACTCAAACATGTATGTGCATATGAATGCATATGTATGCGCAAACAAATATGTATGTATGTGTGTATGGGTGAAATTTATCAACTTTTGCCATTTGTCGATTGATATGTAACAATCCGCAGCGGTCGTAAGCTACATGCAATTTTGGCTTTTTATGTTGACAGATTATGCACAACAACAGTATTTTCTACTCAGTTATTTATTTTTTATTTTGCACTGGCTGAATGAATGTTGTATTTATTATCTTATCGCCTCAAAGATTTCAATAACTTGAGGCGCAAGTATAATTGGTTATTAAATTAACGGTATTGATTATCTTCAAACACAAATACATGCACATTTATTTATTGTGTATATGTAAAAATGTTTTACGTATGTTTGTATGCATGCGCTAGCGAACAACATTTTTTATATTTTCTTATAAGTCACCACAGTGGTGTGCCCTACGTCACTTTTGTACATTAAACTCTATAAAAAAATTAAAAAAAAAAAAATAATAAAAAAATAAAAATATGTACATGTATATACACCCTATTATACCGATAAGTCGTTATTATTTTTTTTATATATATAATATATTATAATTTCCCTTTCGCTGTTTATGCTTTCACAATTATTTTTCTTTTTAATTTTTTTTAACTTTTTTATTTCATTTCAAAATCAGAATAAAACAAATCAACAACTTCTTCCTTTAACGGTTTTAAATGAAATTCGACAACGCACTTCAAACACTTTTCATGTTGTCAATTTTCAATCCAACAGCCGACGCAGCAGTCTCATCCCAGCATCCGCAAAGCTCACTTGAGCAGAAAGACAACAGTAATAAGCGCAAGCCGCAAAAAAAAACTACAAAATTCAAATCTTACTACTGCATTTTTATTATCAGCAACACGCTAAATGATAAGTTTCGACAAAGTTCTCACCCAACTTCCTAAGAAACTCAGCCCCAAATAAATTACAACATAGTTTAACGATTAATTCATAAAAATGTCCAAAAAATTTATTAGTGGAATTTAGGTAAATTTAGTAGTACAGTGTTGGCTAATCAGATTTTTCGCAGCGTTATTTTATCATTTTATATTTTTTCTTCTTCTACTTTTCTAAGCTGTCTCGAAAGAGTGACTGACGGGCTGGCTGACTGCTCACGGTGATGGTTGGACATATGATTTACTATGTCTGTTATGCGGTTTATGGGCTTGACGTATAATGTCACGTTAATGTGACATGGGTAAATATATACATAATATGAAAAAGTTAATAAATCTTTGTAACAGATTCACATAGGCATATACATATATACTCGACCAAAAACGCGCCTCCATTGAAATGTTTATATTATGTACATGCTGACATACATATGTATGAATATATGTGTGCTTTGTGTTTTGTACTGTATAAGAAATATATCAAAATATCTATATCAGTATGTAACCGAATCTATTTTTAGTATTAAAATGAAAAATTCAAACTTAAAAGTACTGAATACTGTTACTTTGAAGACGCCAAACACACTGGTCATGCAAAAACATGTAGGTCTGAGAGTGTCGGTCACAATCCAGGAACCTCAATTCGACTTCGAGGACAAGGCTTGCAAATTTCATGAAGCTCTCCATAGCGTATACTCAATAAAGATTTGCTTACAAATTTGAATTAACACCACAACTGAAGCCAAATGGCCATGCACCGCGAAAGGAGCTTCTAGAATACATTACTGGGCCACCAACAAATGGATGCTGATTTTTCTAGTAAAAATTATACTAAACATTTCAGCTTGATGAGTTTATTAATAGCCAAAGCCCAAAGTGTTGAAGAAAATCCTTGTTTTTGCCCATTCCTCGGCGTTATTTGGAATTGGACATGCCACAAACGTCTATACAACGTATTTTGAATAAGCACTTGGGACTTAAGACTGATAAAGTTCAGTCAACACAAGAACTCAAGCTGATAGATCATCAACAACGTCGTGTCTTTGCCGATTGAGTCCTTAAAATACATGAAACTGATATGGGATCTCATAAAAAATCAACTTGACTGCTGAGGCGCATTTAGCTGGAAGGCTACCTCAAAAGGCAAGGAAACCAGCGATTTTTTAAGGGACACGTCCCCGGACTGTGTTATCTTTCGATTGCTTGTTTTTCATTACATCTTCTCCTTTACCTTGAAATAAACATCGGATTATTTATCTCTGGAAATGTAATTATCGTGTGAATATCAAAATAGCACGTCTTTATGGAAAACCCTACATATATAATATATTAGATATACGTACGCTATAATGCTGCGATCGGGCGAACAAATGAATGTTTGAACGTGCCGTTCTGTGTACCAAGTCGGGTTGAAATGTCTCAAAAACTAAGGGATCAGTTTGATTACAAACAGAGGGACAGACGATTATGGCTAAACCAACGCAACTCGTCCTACTAATTCGATTGGTATTAATTTTAATGGGTCAACAACTTCTCCTTCTGGTATCTACATACTTCGAACTAAAGCAGCTTATCCTTGTACTTGAAAGATACATATAATCAAAATAGTAATTTTCCAAATGCACGCAATGCACTAACGGTCAGGGTTGTATTTATGGAAAATTTTTCAATGTAATTTCAATCGTCAGATGCCGTACGCAATTTAATTCAAGGAAAAATAAATTAAAATGCTAAAAAAAAGGAAATTAAATCAATACCACTACATATCAGCTTATCAAACGCATAAAATAATACTTTGGAAAACTGCACACAATGTGTATACATACACACGAATATATAGCAAATTGCCTGGGATCAATTGATCGACCGATCAACCCGACCGTTCAACCGATCGATCGATCGCTGCGATCGGTGAGTGGTGAATTGCATTTATATGACAATTTATGTCACTGATTGAGTCAATCAACAATGTGAGATGCAATTTATTTGCACTCATCCCAAAGAGTGTGCTTGCTTGACACTTACGCACTACGCACTTATTCACTTACATACATATGTACATATACACACATATGTATATTTACATGGTGTCATTTAAATTGCATTTATTGTCTAAATTTTACTATGCAAAATAGTTATTATTAAACGAATTCGTCAACGGTTGATATATATATATATATAAATGGTCTTTCTATCAACCGTTGACGAATTCGTTTAATATATATATGATGGTATTAACGTCAATTTATTGTGGAATGCGTGTCGCGTCAAATAAATATTAGCACTTGACAGCAATTATTGTGAATTTATGTAATTATCAAGTGTTAATACTTAACGAGACATGCATATTAGTAACATAAATACATATGTATATATGAAAATGATTTAAGTGCATTATTTTTAAATACCAAAATATTTAGAATTAAATTTAATTTTATTTTAACAAGAAAGTAGAGCTGTCTGTGGTAATGTCGAGGGCTTTTTATCTCTCATGTCCATATCAAATTTATGGATTAAATATTAATTTTTATATCTGAACAAATAGGTAGTGTGAGAGCTCTATGATATATGTAGTACTCCAATCTCGATAATTTTTGGTGTTAATATTTATTTATATATACGTGCGTAAAACACCAAATTTCACGCTCTCAGATGCTCCATTGACGTATTTTTTTTTCCTAAAATCTAAAATCGGAAAAAGCAGTCGCGTGTATGCTATGGTGATCCGATCGGGCCAATTACTTATTTATGTGTTGCAGTGTACAAATTGTGGTTGGAAGTTCTCATAAACTGAGGGACTGCGCATAAACAAACGGGCATGGCTAAATCAACTCAGTTAACTCTGGCCTGATATGCCTGAGTGAAGACCCTCGGGTAATTTCACTTATACACCGGTTGTTGGGACGCAGGGCCTTAGCTACCGTGGATACCTGCGCGTTAACAGAAGAACAACACAAATTGTTGACCTCTCATCTTTTTATGGATTGTTGCAATAAATCAAATACTGAGGGACATGCTGGAAAGGAAGAGGGGAATAAAGACTCCTAACATATGCAGACGATCTTATGTGGTTATAGTTAGTGGCAATTAGGAAAGCCAAATGTCAACTCTCTAAAAAATTAAAGAAAATTAAAAAAAACAGTCGACCCTCGGCAGGAAATCGACGAAATATAGGCACCAAAGTAACTAACTCCGGTCCTTTTACGAACGAGGTTGCCCATTAACGAGTAATTATAATACTTGGGACCCATTTTACATAGCTAGCTGGTCACAAAACTGATAGCAAAGGTTGTGTAAAGCATCTATCCACCAAAGGTAGTGCTTTGACTTTCTCCTCTGTGGAGTATTGGTTTGGTGGTCGGCACTCGAGAAGAAATAAATTACTTGTAAACTACAAAGAGTGCAGAGAGTAGCGCTCATATATATTAGCGGTGCAGTACGGACCACACCTTTTGAGGATATGAAAGTCCTTCTCATAGACATAATGGGAATGCGAAATGCTGCTTGTTCTGCGGTAGGACAGCAGAAAGAAACTGATTGGAGGTCGTCTACGGCCAGACTAATGCAAAAAATCCACTGAATTCAGGAGAGACTACGAGGTCATTTTTACCTATACCTATAGGACATGGGTGACCCAGCTCTAGCAGACTCGATTTACTTATTTAAGGATGAATCAAAACTGGAAACCCGCAAATTCTTGCCACTGCTGGCTGATCACTGTATCTCGTTGAAGTGTATCTACATATATTTTCTCCGATAGTCGGACAGCATTAACAGGAATCAATCATAATAAATCAGAGACGGTAGGCAACTACCGCAGATTACTAAACGCGAAAGCTAAGCAAGGCGGATGTTATGCAAAGTAAAACCCCACCCTTCCACTCACGACATCTTGTGAAAATTTGGGTACATCGTTCTTCATTTGTAAGCTCATCATAAGAAAGTCTTTCATCGTACATCTGAACTCAAAATGGATTAGTCTCCATACTGCAATGTAAGTAGAATTATGTGGCCAACTAGGAGCTAGGGAAGGTCGAAAGAGCTCTCTAAAGAGAAAAGAGTTGTACATGGGTCTTTCAACGGAGCATTTCTTTTAGGTAGACAAGTATAGAGACAAAATGTACCGCCAAATTATATCTGTAGGAGTTATAGAGAAGAGAAAGAATATGAGACCTTATGGCACTTCCTTTGCGAATGCCGCACACTTTGATGGAGTAGGCTAAGATCTATAGAGCCGGCAACCTTTGGAGGCTTAAGCGAAATAGCGAATGCAAAGTTACGTCGACTGCACTGTTTTGGTAACTCGTCACAGAGCCTTATTTAGTTTAATTCTGGAGAATACAATATGGGCCGCGGAACTACAAGAAGATTTTTTCTAAAACCGAACTTACATCATTTTTACTTTAAACAGTTCGTTTACTCAAATGCAAACATATTTTCATATGCATTTAAGTGGCGCTTATCAGTGAAAAAATTCATGTCCTAATACGTGTACGCACATACACATAGTATTCCCATCTAAATATATTAGAGCTTAGCACTTTTTAATCAATAATGAATCAATAGGAAAACGCCAGAAGTCAAGAGGGTCAGAGACTCAAGTACTGCAACACTATTGTTTGTATTTTACTATTTTTATTATTTGTTGTTATTAAGTATTGTTTTAAAGATTTCATATATTTTCCATTTTATGGCGTGATTTTAAGTATTAGGTATGATTAGGGAGCCGTGTATTGTTGTTGTTGTTGTTGCGTCACTAATCTCATAAAATATTCCTAACAAAGGTTTGAAAAGTGGTAATCTTGAAATATTGAGTGTTTATTCCAATAAATTATGTTTTAAAATTTATCACAGTTGTGCAATATTAAAATTAAAATTTTCGAGTGTAATTTTCCGGCGCTGAGAGAGAGAGATAAGCGTTTTTGGGGCAGCATGTCGATATTGAACACTCAATTGTTTTATTTTTTATTTTAGTCGTATGTAAAACCGAAGAGCTCTCAAACTGTCAGCTATTGCAGAGGATACATAAGAAAGAAGATGAAGAAATCCAAATGACTCAGACGTTAACGGTAGCATATATATACATATACAGACCGTTTAGCAGATTTATTAAAAAAAATATTTTAGAAGAGAAAATATTCCAATTAATGCAGCATTCCCAAGCTCTAACGAGTTTAAGGCAAAGCTTTACATTTGCATATGCATATGTAAATATGCATGTATGTATAAAATATTTACAATCCGGTACTAGTTATATCCATAATATATATGTTTTTCTTCTTTAGCCACTGTCACTTGCTTTGAAGTGATTGCCCATAAAATCGTTGATAATTCTCTGCACGTTGACACGCGCCTTCGACGCGCAAAAAAAAAAAAGTAAAAGCAAAGTAAACAAGCCGACAACAACTACATGTCAACAAGCGACTGACAAGATCTACATACATACATACATACATACATACATATGTATGTGTGTACATATTACGTACCACAACCGTAAAGCAAACAATATGAAATCTATGTAGCACAAGCACAAAAACAATGATAAAATCAAGCTAAAAATGGCAATATAAATATTGTTGTTGCATATTTGTTGTACACCTTTAGTGGGTATGAAGTTGCACTTTTATTTTTATTAGCATTAGTAGCATGCTTTTTATCTACATTTACATATATGTATATATTTGCATATAAATGTTTGTAAGTATTCGTGTGTATGACGTATTTTGCTTTTATTGAGTATTCAACGCGGTTGTTACTCCTTGGAAATTTATAATGAAATAATTGTAAATAAATAATAATTTATTATTCACTTACTAATAGCACTAATAGAAGAGCACTTTTTTTAAAATAAATTGATATATGTGGGAGCGTCGGAAATTTTAATTGTATGACTTTGTGTTAACTGATTTTATATATTTGCGAACGGATGTGTTCGAAAGTTCACATAAATTAAATCAATTGAATTTAAATAAAACCATAAAAAATTAGATAAAGTAAAATAGAAAATAAAATAAAGCAAAATAAAATTAAATGAAAAAAACATAGAAATATACAGTAAATAAAACGAATATAAAATAAATGAAAGAATTGATACAAATATATATATAAAATAAATCAAAAAAATTAATTAACATAAAAAATTTAAATCAAATTAAAATAAATACTTATATTAAAACAAAATAAAACGGATAGAATATAAAATAAAAACGAAATTAATGAAACCAAATAAATTAAAATAAATAAAACAAAATACTATAAAATAAAATGAGACAAAATGAAATAAACTGAAGCAAAACCAATCATAAGATACGATAAAGACTGCCTTGTCATAAAGTAAGCAGGCTGCTTACGTCGACTTACAGAAGGTTTCAGGAACGCAGCAGACTCTTGTTGGATACAAAGAGATGATCTGAGTTACGAGTAGTAACCGATGCCCAGAGTATACTGAATTTATGCAAAGAACAATTCTCAAGTGAACCCGAAACCCCAATCGATGATAAAGAAATAAAAAAAATAATATAAAGAAAATAAAGTAAAATAAAAAGAAATAAAACAAAGTAAAATAAAAAAATAAAATACATAAATATAAATAAAATAAAATAAAATAAATTAAAATAAAATAAAACAAAATAAAATAAAATAAAATAANAAAGTAAAATTAAATAAAATAATAATAAAATAAGATAAAATTTTCCATAAGACCAATTCAGACTGCATAAGTATGTACATGTCTTATGATTGACATTAATTATTTCTAATCATATAATATAGTTTGGACAAAACTCCATAATCCACTATACTCAACTACTAATATGTACAATAATCTTTTCCAAATTGCATAAGTACACACATACACATGCACGTGCAATGAATATTTCTACATCTCAAGCACCCAATAATTTTTTTTTATCATATTAAAGCCAGGAAATCTCTTAATAACATCAAGTGCAAGTGATAACAATAATATTTTGTATAAAAATATAACAAAATTATCTATTGTTTACTTAACAATACGTATATAATAAATGTGCAAATATGTTAACCTTTATCAAAGTAGTTAAAAACAAATTCATACAAATCTAAATGATTGTGCTCTGCGTATCTTATTTAACCAACGTAAAAACGTAGGTAAAAAATGTGCACACCTAAACTAATTTGTAGTCATATGTCGAATTGTAGCTGTGTAAATTTATTCATAATTTTACTTGCTAATACAACTGTGGAATACCCAGTAGTAAATTGAGTTGTATGTGATTTAATTTTGATTGTACAATAATGGGACCGGTGGCAATGATTAACTTGATGACTAGTCATGTTACTACTATCACCACTAAGAAAATATGTGCAACAGGTTGTACTTTTTTACCACACCAAAGTAAACAATATTTATTAGATTGACAGATTGACAACCGCAGAAGGTAAGTTGTTAATAACCGAACAGTTAGGTGGTATATATGTATTTGTAGATGGTTCTATGTGATAATAACTTTTCTATAATGACTGTGGTTTAGGCTCGCAAAGTCAACAACAAATGTGGTGATTTATCTGGTTAAAAGGGCCTTTGTATTTGTGTACGATAATTATTGTTGACATGAGTAAATTGGTTGTAGCAATTTAGATTATCATATATTATATTTTTGATATTTTTACGCCTTCAATGTAATCTAATGAAGTTTTCGTTGTCAATTTGGAGTGCTAATAAAACTGTTGTAAACATTATATGAATATGATATGAATAAATCACGATTAATATACCAAAACTATATAAAGAAGATTAAATAAAATATAAATAAAATAAATCCAAATAAAATAAATTAGTAAAAAATGTAAAATATAAATGAAAATAAAGTTAAATTAAAAAATAAATAAAGTGAAATAAAATTAAATTAAAAAAATACTATACAAAAAAAGGAAATATATAAAAATTAAAATATAATAGAAATTAATTAAAAATAAAAGAAAAATAAAAAAATAATAATTTTAAGTATATTAATATAATAAATATAAATAAATAAAATAACAAAATAAAAACAGAAATTAATTAAAAAGTAAAAATAACATAAAAAATAAAAAAATAATAATAAAAATTTGAAGTATATTAAAATAATAAACAAAATAGATTAAATTGAGCTAAATAAAAATCCATAAAATCACTTAAAAATAATTAAGATTAAATGAAATTAAATTATTTATATTGCAATAATATAAAATAAAATTAAAAATAAAATAAAAGAAAACTTTGTCATTGAATGAAACAGAGATGCTAACAAGAAAAATAAACTCAACAAACTGGAATCGCCAAGTTTCGGTGGCATATTACAACAAAACGAAATCGTTACCATTAATTTTAAAATGGCTGCTGCTATGATTTAACAGCACACTTCAACTTTAACGTTTAACATTATATGTTAACGACTTAACATTAACGACAGCACTTCGTTCCGAAAGAAATTTATTTTAATAACTACTACGGTGGGGAAGGCCAATTGTCGAAATAGTAGATATAATAATGGAAATCTTCGTGTCCGACGTCAAGCGATCTTTATTTCGATTACACAGAAGCTAAGCAATGCACAAAAATACCGTTTAGAACCTATTGAAAAAGGCTGGTTAGACAAAGAAGCTCGATGGTGGATATCACATGAGTTAAGGAGAGAAAACCTCATGAACCGAATATGGAATCGTTGCTAAATCGCAACAAATCGACGATTTAAGTGGATACTGGCTGGGGATGAAAAGTGCATCACTTATAGCAACGTCAAGGGAAAACGGGCGTGTTCGAAGGGCAGTGTGCCGGCGCAAACGGTATCCAAGCCAGGTTTTAGTGGGTTTGACAAAGAATCTTCCACTATGCTCTGCTCGCCAAACTCTTAATTGAGATTTGTCAGTCAGCAATTAAACCGTCTGAAGGAGGCAATCGCTCAGAAATGTCAAACTTTGGCCAAAAGGAAGGGAATTGTGTGTCGTCAGGAGAACAGCAGACCACACACAGCAAAAGTTACTGGCCTGTAGTCTCGACAGCTTGGTTGGGAAGTTCTTATGCATCCATCAAGAGAAGCTTGTGAAAATCGATTGACCCATTTTTTTTTTTGGCAACAGAGTCAAGGCTTTCAATGACAGAGGCTTGATGACATTACCTTCAAAATGGCAAAAAATTATTGAGCAAAAGGGTGCTTATTTGATATATTATATTATAAATCAGAAAATTCTAACAATGGTGAATAAAATTGTTTATCTAATGCAAAAATGATGGATTATTTTTTACTAGACCAGTTCAAAATATATATGCATATAACAAAATAAAATCAATAAAACTTATGTGAAAATGAATTAAATGCAATAAAACATAAAGGAGTAAAATAAAATAAAATATAAAATATAAAAAACACAAATAACATAGAAAACTTAGAACCATGCAAAGTATAAATGAAGTATAATAATAAAAAAAAATTCAAAAAGCATAATAAAATAATTAATATATAAAATAAATAAATAAATAAATTAATATAAGTTACATAAATTGATATAAAAAATTAATGATTAATTAAGTTTGTTTTTCGTTTGAAATAAATTAAACCAAAATGAGATTAAAAAAATTAAAATAAAAGCAAAAAATTAAATATGATAAAAGACAATGAATTTAAATATAAATAAAATAAAATATAAATGAAATAAAATATAAATGAAATGTAACTAAAAAAATATATCAAAATAATTAATATATAGAATTAATAAATAAATAAATTGATATAAATTACATAAATTTGTATAAAAACTAAATGATTAATTAAATTCGTTTTCTTAAAAATTAAATTGAAATAAATTGAATTAAAATGAGATTTAAAAAATAAAATGAAAGCAAAAAATTAAGTACGATAAAATGCAATAAATTTAAAGATAATCAAATTAAATTAAATTAGTTTAAAATAAAAAATTATAATAAGCTCAAGCAAAACGAATTAAAAAAAAATAGAACAATAAAATTTTATATATATCTAAATAAAATTTGTCAATTAAACTCATTTATAATTGGCAACTATTTTCGCATAATATGATAAAAAAAAGTATACCCTCACAGAACTTGGGCAAGGTCAATGTTATTAAGTGCATAAGTGAGTATAGTTAAGTACACATTTAACTGTACTAAACTTATCTTATCAAATAAAATTCCAACTTTAATCAAATGTACAGCTTAATATTTTCCGTGTTAATCAAAAATGCGCTTTAAGGTGTGCCTTAGTTCCAATTTCAAAGCTAAAAATTTATAGAATTCCTCAATTAGGAGCATAGCAATGAAGCGATTTAAACTTTCTTTTTTTATAAAAGTTCATATTACGCTTATCTTAATGCGACCGCTAATAAAGTAATTAAAA